CCGCCTGCAGGGCCCAGGAACGGGAAGGGGAAGGGGGTGGGGGGGCGCTGCAAGTCAAGGCGGGGAGGAGGAGTCCTGGCAGGCCTGGCTCTCCACGGGGCCTTGATTTACCCCACGGGGAACAGAGGGAAGTACTACACGGGGCTGTTCGGGCTCTGCCCTCCTGATCGGTGTCCATGGCTCCCGGGGCTTTCAGGCTGGCCCTCTCCCTCTGGTGCCTGGGGCCAGCCTGGCTGCTTCACCCCACCCCCAACCGCTCTCGTCTCTGGGCCCATCTCCCAGGCAGCCCTGGATCTGGGTCTGTCTGGGTCCCCAGCTTCCCTCCTCCTCCTCTCTCTGTGGTTTCTCTGAGCGTCTGTCTGTCCCTCCCACAACATGCTGCCTCTGCCTAGTTCCATTTTTCTTTCTGTGTCTCTCTCCCCCTTGTTATCTTTGCTGTTCACCCCCACCCCTGCCCCCCACTTTCTCTGGCGGTAAACAGCAGCTGCTCCCATCTGGGGGCCACCTCCCAGGGCCTTCCAGTAGGGGAGGCAGTGCCCACAGGCCACCCCACCTCCTCCAGCCCTGACCCCCCCTTGCTGCGGGTCCCAGCCAGTTGACCTCCTCTCTGGTGGGTGTGCCTGACACTTAAAACCTGAGTTTTTAAAACATATTTTTTTTCTCCAGTGTAGGCCATGTCCATGAGAGCAAATGCTGCAAATTCAACACAGCGTAAAGAACAAATAAATACCTCTCTCTCAATCCCACTTCCCAGCCGTAACCACTATTAACACATTGTTAGGTTTCCTTTTCCTTTGCACATAAATGTTTTCAAGCAGATCTTGTAACTTCTTCAAAGACAGTGACCAGATTACTTTACGGGATGTCACTGAATCCGATTCTGCCGCCGGACAGAAGGGACAGCAGAGGTGATGCAAGAAGACTGGAGTTGGCCGGGGTTGCCCGTCACCCTGACTCCCACGTCCGGGTTTGGAATCTTTACCCCAGACCCTGCCGCCTTTTGCGCTCTCTCATCAGGGCCCCATGGGATTCGCCAGGCAGGGCCCCGGTGAGTAACGTCAGAATGAAAAGGAGAAGCGGGGCTGCTGGGGCAGGGGAGCCCGGCCCACAGAGACGGACAGCAGGGGCCTCCGCCCAGGTTGGAGGTAACACACTCACGAAGGCCAGGTTGAGTGGGATTCCTGGGGCCTGTAGCCGCAGGAGCACGTTCTTGTTCGCGCTGAGGACCAGGAGCACCTCTCGGGGCCACGTGCCATTTTGCGTGGACTTCTGGATTGTCAGCTCCAGCTCTGACACCTCCTAGGGTGGGGGCAGAAGAGGGACACGCGCAGCAGTCAGCCTTGCTCAGCCTGTAGCAAAGACTCACTGTCAGCTTCCCCTCCCCTCTCCCTGCCCCACTGGGCTGCCCCTGTCTCCCAGCGCCCAGAGCCGCGCCCGGCCTTCGGGAGATGCTCAGGTAATATTTGCTGAGTGAACGAAGGCGATTAGTCTCATCAAATCCAAAGAGATTTTTAAAAAGGCAATAAGCCCGAACTGTATCCAGTAGATCAAAGGTGGTTGTTTCTATTGAGCGCCTGCTGTGTACCAGGCCTGCAAGCATCTGTGTGACTTAGACAGCGCCCTGTGCCCCTTCTCTGTTCCTAGGCAGCAATGTTGAGGCACCCGCCCCTTCCCAGCTTGCGGTGTTCCTGTTTGCCTTACTATCTTGGAGCACTAAAATGCCTGTATTTTTGTGGCTGGAACGCCATCCTTTTGCTAGAAGACGAGGAAGTTGAAATCATTTGTCTTGAGAGGTACCTACTGCATGAAAAGTTTTAATCTCCCGTGGTGTATGCAGTTAGAATGCTTTCGTAACCACAACCGCATCCACAACAACAACAACGCTTAACACTTACGTGGTGCTTACTACGTGCCAGGACTGTGCTAAGTGTTTTGCATACGGACTTTTCTACTCACAACCTGAAGAGGTAGGCAGCATTGTTCTCACTTAATAGATGAGGAAATGCACAGAGAGGTAAAGTCACTTGCCCAGGATCACACAGCACTAAATACGGAGCTAGGATACGCACTCGGACAGGCCTCGCCTCTCACTGTATGGCCCCACATTTTTCTGTACCTCCTTATTCCCAAGAAGAAAAAGGACACGGCGATCCCCAAGGCAAAGCTTCTATTGAAAGAACAGCACCCTCAGCCCTGCCCAAAGACTTTCTGAGCCAGTGAACAGGTGGCTGCTGAAACCGAGGCGGGGACGTGCCTCAGGGGCCCCACCACGGACTCACGAGGACAAAGA